CGGCAGTTCTCTGCTGATGTGCTGTTCTAATCGTTTTTGGATAATCTTCAGTAGAATCTTGCTTGCATGTGAAATCAATGATACTGTTCTGTAGTTTCCGCACTCAGGTGGGTCACCCTTCTTTGGAATGGGAACAAATAAAGATCTCTTCCAGTCAGTTGGCCAAGTGGTTGTTCTCCAGATTTTCTTAAAGCTAATTTGATTTCATTAAAGCTATAAAAATAAGTAGTTCTGATTAGAGAGCAAACATTTATAGACGATTATATGGTGTTTAAACAGTTTTGGATTTTATAATAGTGTGTCATTTTAAATACGACAGGGAAAATATAACTAGATTAACAAGAGTTAACAATGTACACTGTACATTGCCTTGAATTGAACTGTTTTCTAAAATAAGTGGTGTAGATTCTTAGTCACTTTGCCTGTGGTTGTCATCTCATTTGAGAATATGTTTTCTTTGTTATGTTGATGAACAAGGGTAGTGTATAATAGTGAGTCAGTCTCTTTTGAAATAAAAAACTAGCAAGCAGGAATGGGAGACGAGAGTTTCTAAGCCATATGAAGATTGCCCAGGAGCAGAAGCAGCTCAGAGACCTAAGACCTTCCTCGAGAATTGACAGAAAGAGAAAGCCTTCCCTTAGTGCTTGCACAGTGAATTTGGACTAGCCTCCTAAGCAGTGAGAAAATAAATTTTTGTTGGTTAAAGTCTCCCATTTGTGGTATTTCTGTGATAGCAGCACAGTTATTATGGGCCTGTGAGTTGGAACTGACTTCATAGCTGACCCCCTAGTGGGAGGAGAGTGCCCATATTTTTCCTAAGGAGCAGCTGATGGATCAGATAGGCTCCCTTTGGGTACGCACAATCATTCCTTACTCACAAGACTACCAGAACTCCTTTAGAGCAGGACTTGTTTTGGATTTTGTGTACCGTCTAGTTGGAACAGTCTCAGAGCTGACTCTCCAGAGGATTTTCAGAGACAGTAAATAGTAGGGGAGGAGATTGTCTATTGCAACCCTAGGTAGTTAAAAAAAAGGAAGTTAGTAATTTCTTTTTTAAAACTTTCCACTCTGATAAAGAACTTGTTGAATTAAGGGTATTGTGAACTCTAGAGAGAAGTTGCAGTACCTAATATGATAGGTTCCATACACCTATGAAGAGTTCCTAAAACTACCCATAGTAGTAATGGAGGGCTGGAAGCTTGCTCTGGTAGGCTATACTAATATCCAAAAGGCCACAAGTGGTTTGACTACCAGATATTTCAAGGTAGAAAGATGGGCAGGCAGGCAGGCAGTTTATAAGTTCAGATTTACCAACTTTATGGTAGTATATTTGAATTTTCTATGATCAAATGACTACTATTTTGCTGAATATTCATTCAATACCTCTATTTTAGATGTGTTGTGCAAGGCTCATACAAGCATATAATCTCATGGAAAACCTCCTGTTCTGACTCCTAGCAAATCTCCATTGGGTTTCTGAAGCTCTAAATCTGTATGAGAGGAGACTGCCCATCTCTCTTCTACAGAGTGGCTGGTAGATTCAGGTTGCTAACACTTTGGTTAGAAGTCAGATTTACTATGCACTGCACCACCAGTGCTCCTTACAACACAGACTAATGAGGATCCCCAGGCTGGTAAAAACGGTTAAGTGTTCAGCTGTTGTGAAATAGGTGAAATATCTGTATTTTAAAGACAAGACAACAAGCTAAGAGAGTTTTTTGCCTAAAATTTTGTGGTATAATTTAGAGTCAGATCTGTATTATTGTGGTCTTGTTATTTTTCCAGGAGGCCTATTGTTGGCCTGCTGGCCTCTTTATTTTTTGGATCTTTCTTCTATCTTTCTTCCTATGCATGTGGTTTGGAAACTATCTCCAGATATTTTTTATTAACTCAGAAGATGGCTATATTAATAAAGTAATAAAGTGTCAGAACCAACTAAGATGGAGTCTTTGAAACAGAATCTCATATTAAGTCTGGTACTGCCTATTGCCATCTATCAAGCCAAAGGAGTTGTCATCAAGCTAATTCCCACTCATGACACCCCATGTGGAATAGGCACTGTTCACTGAATGCTGCTCTCAGGTTGAACAGTGTATTCTCCATAATATGGTAGCTAGTAGCCACATTTAAGTTTAAAAATTCATTTCTTTAGTTTAACTTGTTATATTGCCGTTGTCTGTATTTCAAAGCATAGGTGTTTAATATTTTTAGCTTTTCAGGAAGCTCTGTTGGACAGTATTGTGTACTTTACATGCTATTTCTAATTTATGACTCTTTGTGATCTTTTGTTTTTATCGTGGAAAAACTAAAAAAGTAGACTTAAGATAAATGTAAGGCTCTGGAGAGACAACAGAAAAATTACTTTGAAATATTTACTTTGAAACATTCAGGAAGGACATAGACAAGAACTAGAGCATGTGGTTTAATAAACTAAGTTACAGAGTTTTGTCGACACATAGGAGAGATGTCTCATCTAGCTTCAAGTAGTCAGGAAAAGGGATTCTTAGAAGTCCTGTTTGAGCAGGTAAGTTGATGGAGTGCTTTGTAATATTTGAGCTGTATCTTAATAGAATATAAAGTTCCCTGTTCAGTAGAATGAGTATTTTGAATGAAGGGAACAGCAGTCCTTTGTGTATTAAAGGCAATCAATAGTAAAACTCTGGTGAAATTCAAGTACAAGAGGCAATAGTGGTTAAGCATATGGCTAGTAACCAAGGGAGCTCTGTGGCTTGGTGGTAAGGAGTTGCTTACAATTTGAATTGATCAGTTTCTCTGTGGGAGGAAGAAGAGCAATAAACTCGTGTGCTATTGACAGCCTTTGAAACCCACTGTGAGTTAGTTCTGACTCATTGGTATATGACACCAAACTGCTGAAACTTTGAAGCACAGGCTGCCCAAAAGAGAAAGATCTGGTTGGCAGTCTGCTTCTATACAGTTCTCACTCAATCCCGTAGTGCTGCCATGAGTCAGCATCCATGGACTAATTGACTTTTTAAAAAAGAATTTAGGCATGCCCTGAGAAGATGATCAGTGTTAGGAATGAATTTGAAAGATAAGCTAGATTCTGGTAGTTTGAGATATGTAAATATCTCATGATCTTATAGGTGCAATTTTTAAAAAGCAATTACAAAAAAAACAAATTTAATTTACACTGCTAGGTTTAATGAACATTTTATACCAATTTTGTTGAAAGACAAAACATATATATACACATGCATACACTGCTATATTTTTAATTGAAATGAATGAATTAATATCTTAAACACTTTCACTAAAAATGAGAATTTATTCTTATGCTAAAAATGACAAATAACACTCCTATTTCTTTTGTACTTTCAGCAGACTGGGAGCTTTTCTAGCTGGTCTGGTAGTTTCCTTATGGATGATAGCATGTCTAATACTCTAAATAGCCTGGAGGAGCACACAAGTGAGTTTTACAGTATGGAGGAGAATCAGACTGTATCTGCTCAGCACAGCTCCCCCACAAAGTTCTTGGCTATAGAGGCAAATGCTGTGCTGTCTTCTCTACAGACGATTCCAGAATTTGCAGAGACTTTGGAACTTATTGAATCTGTAAGTTTAAAATTGTGAGATTATCTAAAGCTCAATTTTAATTTTATGTTCAGAAAATCCAGTATTATTTTGTATGCTATGAGTGATTATGATTCTGATATTTTTTAGGGTGTGCCATGTATAGAATTTTTTGAAAAAAATTTAATTGTTTTACTTTATTTTTTTAATTCATATTCTCACAAATACATTGTTGTTGTTATGTGCCGTCGAGTTGTTTCCGACTCATAGCGACCCTATGCACAACAGCCCTAAACCCTGCTCTGTCCTGCGCCAAACGCACCGCCTCTGACACACCCATCCCGATTACCCCAGTCACCGAATCAATCCATCTCATAGAGGGTCTTCCCCTCCTGCGTTGTCCCTCAACCCTCCC